AACGTGTGTTGTGTCAATGGCAGTGGCCCTCACCTGGCTATTTCCAAATCTTGCCCAATAAAAATGAAAAAAATACTTGAAAAAAAAGGGTAAAATTACTTATGCCTCTGTTGCAAATACAATTACGTATTCTGATTTTCCGTCTTTACCGGCACAGTCGAACAGCATTGTTAAGAGCCTACCATCAATAAGCCAAAATGTACATAAATTAAATAAAAATGTAAAAATTGTAAATAAAACAGTGCCTGAACCCAACTTGAACCAAACTCAACTAAAGGCTCAAATTGCAAACAATAAGAATATTCTGATGGCAATGGTTCAAACTTTAGTTGAATTGGGTAATAAAACAGATAATGAACCTGTGACTACTCTGTTCATTAAAGACTTACTTTTAAAAAATCTGTCACATTAATGGACAGTACAGTACAGAACATACAGCAGTTATGTATAGCTCAGTACAATATTCAAAGTATACATAGGAAAAAACCCTTACTGTCTAAATTTTTAGGTGAACAAAATGTTGATATATGTCTACTCAATGAAACTTGGCTTAAAGATACTCAGCATTTTAAAATTTCGGGATATAATTCCCACTATCATAATGCTCAAAATGAGCCTGGTGGAGTAGCAATTTTGATCAAACCGTATTTTAAATATAATATTATTCAAACCAGATTTTACCAAGATATTCAGACTATAGCATTATCGTTATATGTAAGTGGTAAACACTTAACGATTCTATGTGTATACTGCCCTCCCTCGAATGGTAACTTCAGAATAAGTAAACTGCGTAATATAATTAGAGATTTGCCTAAGCCAATATTCGTGGCTGGAGATTTCAACGCTCATCATGTGGCATTTGGATGTATGACCACGAAAAGTCGGGGTCATCAATTATACGATTTAATTGATGAATTTGATCTGTGTTTCCTTAACAATGGAAGCTTCACTACTATTAATTATCCTAACCGAAATCCTTCAGCTATTGATGTCAGCTTTTGTAGTGCTCCAATCACTCCACTATGCGAATGGTGGGTGCATGATGATTGTATGGGTAGCTATCATTTTCCTACGCTTACTCGTGTTTTATTGTCCGTTGATAGATACCAAATTAATCCTCCCATTGAAAAATTCTTATACAACAAGACAAACTGGACGAAATACAATGAGCTGTCTATAACTGCTTTTTCTAATTTTGAAGTTAATAATGAGAATCCATTACAGTCATATGACGAATTTATCGAAAGACTTGATACACTTAAGAGGGATACTGTACCAAAGTTTGTCAAAGCAAATAATTATTGTTGCAAACCTCCAGCACCTTGGTGGAGCGACATATGTGAACAGAGTGTTATTAAAACTTATGAAGCTTTAAAACTGTACAGAAGGGATCCAACCATTGATAATTATATTAATTACAAAAGACTTAATGCTGTTAAGAAAAAGATTATTTCAGAACATAAACGCAATGGTTGGGTGAACATCTGTAATACTTTTAACAGAACTACACCTGTTAATATTATTTGGAAATACATCAAGTTATTTAAACGAATAAAATGTAATAATAGAACATATAAAGATGAATTTGTTGTCCCTATCTTAGAAAAATTATCTCAAAATGGATGTAGGGTTATTGATAATCTAGAAAGTTATTTTCAAATTAATAATAGCCTTCAGAAGTCCAGTTTCCTCATAGAACCCCTTACTTGGAGTGAGTTTTGTACAAGTTTACAATCCAGACGAAACACAACCCCTGGTTTAGATGATTGTCCATACATTTTGATTAAAAACCTAAATCAGTCCGTTCAAAAAAAAACTATTAGCTAATCTTAATGCTCTTTGGCACTTAAAAAAAATTCCTGAATCTTGGAAAACACAGTGTGTAATCCCTCTACTTAAGCCTGACAAGCCACCTGAAGATCCTAATTCGTATCGTCCCATATCATTGTCATCTTGTGTTGGAAAGCTTAATGAAAACATGATAAAGATGCGTCTTGAGTATTATGTAGAGGCGAACAACATCATTCCACATGTTCAATATGGCTTCCGGAGAGGGCGAAGTTGTGCTGACAGCTTCATCTCTCTCTTGTCAGATCTGAAATATGCCAATAATAATAATAAGTCCAGTGTTTGTGTTTTTCTGGATGTTCAAGGTGCATTTGATAATGTTGACCCTGGCATTTTGGTTCAAGTTCTTTCTGACATTGGTATACCAGGCATGCTTTGTCATTGGTTATTTAATTTTTTAACAGATAGAACTTTGTATACAAAACAAATATAATAATATTCTCCATGGTCCCAGAAAGGTCTCCAAAGGTACAATGCAGGGGGCTACATTATCTCCATTGCTGTACAATATATATACTAGTCAAATTCTTAATTTTGTAAATATAGAAGGTGTAAATATTCTACAATTTGCGGATGATCTTGTAATATATTGTACAGACCATAGTGTAGATAGAGCTGTAAATAATATAAATAATGCTTTAAACCAATTGTACATATATTATAATGACAGGTTGGCTCTAAAGATTAACCCCAACAAAAGCAAGGCCATGATTTTAGTAAAGATTTCCCCTCTAATGGCATACTCTACAATAATCATCCAATTTCAGTTGTACCTCACCATAAATTCTTGGGTGTTGTCATTGATAACAAACTTTGTTTTGATTTACATATCAATCACATTATAACTAACTCTCTTAAGGGTTTAAATATTATAAGATGTTTAGCTGGTGTGACTTGGGGTGCAGACCCCAAAGTTTTAAGTATGCTGTATAAATCTATAGTCAGAAGCCACTTCGACTACAGTTGTTTAGCCTACACAAATAGTAGTAGTGTAAAAAAACTAGACATAATTCAAAACAAAGCTCTGCGAATTATTACTGGGGCTATGTGTTCAACTCCCATACGAGCTGTGGAAGTTGAAACCAAAATAATGCCACTGTGTCTCAGAAGACTTCTACTAATAGAGAGATACTTACTAAAGCTGTTATCTGGTAATGATAATGTTCTCAAAAAAATAATACCTTTTCCTGTACAATCCTCGGCACAGCAGACTTCGGGAGGTGAGCTTTTACGAGGTTATTTCCCAGTATTGCCTCTCATTGTACTACAAATGAATGAAGATTTTAAAAATGTAATTAAACAATCAAAGTGGACATGCTACTCTTACCCATATTCCTGTATTATATTTGAGACCAATATTGTTACTAAAAAAATTTTTAATAACTGTGAATTATTAAGTTTTCTTTCTGATAATAACTACTATACTTTGTATACAGATGGTAGCAAAAGTGAGCTCTTTGTGCGCAGTGCTGTCTATGATCCCCAATCCAAGATTGGTCAAAGTTTTCTTTTGGATCCTAAATGCAGGGTTTTTACTGCAGAGGTATATGCGGCCCTCGAGGCCCTGAAGAGGATCGCACATATAAATAGTTTTAATAATTTTTTAATTTTAACAGACAGTTTAAGTATGGTCCAAAGTTTAACCAATCTCAGATTTGACTTTAAAAAAAAACTATATTTTGTATAATATTAAAAAGTTGTTATTTAGTTATGCACAAAAGGGTATACAGGTCTCTTTCATGTGGATTCCATCACATAGGGGCATAACAGGAAATGAGATAGTAGATAAAATTGCACGTGATGGAACCAACATGTTGAATGTTAGCTCCATAGTAAAAGTACCTTTGACCGACTGTTATGAATCTATTGACAACCAGGTCAATAACTTATGGGTCGAATTTTGGAAACAAGACCAAGAACAAAAGGGTAAATGGTATGGAAATGTTCAAGAAAATCTGCCTGTAACACCATGGTATAACAAACTGAAAATGACCAGTCGGGACTTTATTACGACTATAAACAGACTGCGTTTTGGTCACTCCACCGTCCCGGCCCACCTGGCTCGGTTGGGCATAATGGAGAGCAGCTACTGCACCTACTGTAATAATTCTGTTGGTGATATCGAACATTTCATATTCATAATTGCTTACTTAACATTTAGTAAAGTTAAGTAACGTAAGTGTTACCTGGCAAGACGTCGGTCTCTCCCATTGTGAGGAGGGAAATATAATTTATAAATATGAAGAAACAAATATAAGTATAATTAATGAAATTAAATTATAATATTTACAATTAATACTAATACTAAAAACCTTAAAAATATATATTATAATAACTAAATTAAATTATTAAAAAAGAGGTCCTTTAGGCAAGGTTCCGAAGATACTGGCAGCGTTTCCCCGTTGAATAGCTAGACTAATTCTTTGTCCGAGGTAACTGCCAGCTCTTCGGCCTCCTGTGACGTCGATTAACCTTTTTGCTATTTCCTTAAAAAGGCTTATAGCGCTAGGACCCCACGGACCAAGGGTCTCGACACCGAAAGGGACAAAAATATATTCGGAGCCTAGACCCCTGTATTTGCAAACTTTAGCCTTTTCTGCCGCTTCACAAGCCGCACCAGCTCTGTTGTTGGTTCCACGTAGATGGGAAGGGGCCAGCGTGTCTGAACAGGTTGCATCCCAAGTCCCATCCCATCCCATCCCATCCATTTCATATTTATATGTGAGTGCTTTTCATTTGACAGATTGATTCTTGTCAGTGAAATAAGTGACATAGTGCAAAATCAAGTGACAGTGCAAGATCCCTCCCGCCGCCTGAGTGATATGTTAAAAAATAGATCCTATTACGTGCCTCTATATAAATTTATCAAAAATACAGTGGGGAAATTATAATAAACCGAATAAAAATACTCAAGACCTGGCCTAAAGGTCTAGATACCAGGCCATAAACTACAAAAAAAAAAATTATTTGTCTGAGGTCTTACGTCAAATGTCAAAAATGGTTTGCACGTGTGTTTTACGATAGAAATTGTTATTTATTTTAATTTAAGTTTTATGTAACAAATTAATGCGAAAACAAAATGTTAAAACCCAAAAACTTGGGAGATGATCTCCCGGGATTTGAAGCTGATGATAAAATTGAAACCACAGGAAATGATTCTCATGAAATTAAAAAAGAAAAAGAAGGGTTCCGGGGGTTTCCAAACAATGGGATTTAGTTTCCCAGTTTTAAAAGGAATTACAAAGCGAGGCTATAAACAGCCTACACCAATACAACGCAAGGCAAGTTAATAATAATATTTTTTTTCTCTAATAAACATTTGGGCATTTGAATAGGTTTAACCCCTCAGGCCCCGACGATACGTGTAGTTCCTTTTGTTTAAATCAATTACAGGAGTAAGTGAGAAAATAGTACGGTGGTGACGCGAAGGAACAACGGGAAGTAGGTAATTTTATTATTTGGTAAAATATTTTTGTGTTTAAAAAAAGTCATCAAACAACATGCTAACAATTTATTAAACAAAAGTTCCATAAACAAGTTCAATGGTTAAAACAGTAACAAATAACAAAACCAAAAAGTTTACTGAAAAGAAAAAATCTAATATTATATGTTATATAGTTTAGTTTAGTTTACGACTGGCTGTTTTCTGCAACTCCACGTCTAAGCGCGTATTTTGCGTGTGGGCAGAAATAATGTAATTATTCGAGCCATGATATTTCCCTGAAGAAGTTCAACAGTCCTTTGATGTTGCAAGCAACTTCGGGGAGCAATCCTGGCGTGCCGAGATGTTTAGCCCTGTATGAAGCGACTTCTAGACATGTCAGCAACACGTGAGCCACCATTTCTTCCTCTCCCATGCCCTACACAGAGGGCTATCAGTAACACCTATGGTGAACAAATGTTTGTTAAAAGAGCCATGTCCTGTGATAGCACTTGTTACTATCCTGATCTGTGGCTTGTTCAGTCTCATTACCTTGGTTAGAGGACTGTTTATTTCAGGCAGAGCCTCCCTAGCTTGTCTACAGTCTACTTAATTTTTCCAAAGCTGAGCATGTAAATTACTGAAGTATCTACATACTAGTAAACGAACATAGCCAAAGGGGATTGGTATTGTAGGTTCCGGCCCTATAGTTGCCAGAGGCGATCCCCTTCTGGCCAGCTCATCTGCTGCATCGTTGCCTCTAGATCCACTGTGCCCTTGATCCATTGTGGAGTCACATTGTTGTGCTTACATACCTTGTTAAATAGTTGATGGCACTCATATATCAGTCCAGAGTTCGTCACATTGCAACTCAGAGCTCGTAGTACCGCCATACTACTATATACTGTCGGTCAGTATTCTGATGGAGAAGTCTTTCACCTTCTTAGCATCTATTACTATGGCAGCTTGGATGATACCCATGCATTCAGCCTGGAAGACTGTGTTATGGGTACCCAGCGGTGTGCATATGTGGATATTAAAATCTTCAAAGAAAGCCTCAGATCCCACACCTTCATTTGTCTTAGAACAATCCGTGAAAACTTGAGCTCTTTTGGACCCAATCCTTCCAGATGATCAGTTTCCCTCAATTGTATCCTGTACTTTTTATCGAATACAAATTCTTTTGGGATCCTGTCATACTTGGCTTGTAAGATATGAATTTTTGAGTAAATTCTATCAATTATATCTGTATGGGGGACTCTTACTCTTACTTAAAAGATTTAGGGTCTTGCGTCTAATGGCAGTTAAAGTTGCTTCTTGTTGTATATGTAGATGAAGTGGTGTTAGCTCCAGTATAGCCTCTATATGTTATATTTACTTCTACAAATAAGGCAAATCGAATGATTATGTTAAAATAAAATAACTACTAAGAATAAAGAAACAAGGACATAGAAACACACGAAAATTCATGATGAAAAGAATTGTATAACATAATTATAGCAATGTACTCAGTAGGAGCCTCTAAAAAATTAAAAAATATTCAATCATAGGTTTATACTCCATTACTACTTTATTTTACTATATTATCTATAATATCTTTGACTAATGTCATTTTTGTTAAAAACAATTTCACTTTAATATTAATTATATATCGAAAATATAATATAAAATGTAATGTACAAAATATTGAACTTTGTGGAGTATGAGAATTCATGATTTATATATAGTGATGACTCACACTTTATATTTCATTTTCAGTTACTTCTGACTATTTTATTTCATAAGTAAACTAAGTGTATAAAATTGTTACAGGACAAAATATAATCAAATAATTTTTAACAGTTCTGTTAACAGTGCAATTACTTACCTTTTATATAAAAAAAAAAAACAAACAACAAACTTTCTTTTATACCCAAAGATGTATAAAAAAGGATAGACTAGAATATAGGATGATCGATCTGCTGTAGCAAGGAATTTGTAGCCATTTGGACATGTTCGATGAGTCAGTCTGTGTTGGCATTACCGCTATGGGGACTAGAGGCACTCGTAGACGCATGGATAGTTGTCGCTGTCTACGCGCAGCCATAATATGGGCAGTTCCGTACCTTCGAGGCTGGCGAGGCGTCAAAAACAGATGTTTTTTCTGATGTACATGCAAACTCCAGCCCAGGCACAAAGGAGTGTTCTAATTTGTACCCCGGATAGGAGAGATACGAAGTATCAGCCGGAGAAGACACCTGTGTCTCGGTCAGAAAGAACAAGGCTGGCTTCGCTGTTTCCAGATGGTAGTGGACGGCGTTAAGGTTTCAATGAAGTCCCCTGATTGCACCGTTTGCCCCGAGCAGGTTTAGTCTCAAGAGGAATTTTGCCCCCCCCCCCTCCTGCATTTTGATAATTAATCGAGGGTAGATGTAGATGTCTATGGGCCACAGTAACTACTTACCATCAGGTACACTGTGTGCTCGTTTGTCAACCTTGTTTTATCATCAAAAAAATCTGCAATACAATCAGATTAATTTAAACAGTGCAAAAGTATATTAATCAGTAAACTGTAAACAATGGATTAGCCATATAGTTTGAAGAAACATCATGAGGAAAAAAGATTTCAAATAGTAACAAGTGAAATAAATGAGACATGCATAAAGTCCTGTGTTCTGCAGTGGATTCAATGATAGTCTTCAATGATGATGATGATGTTAATAGCATTAGATAAAATTATTTAATAAAACACTAAGTTTTCTGAAGAGTTATGTTAATTAAGAAGAAAATTCAACATGTAATTTGAATTAAAAAAATTAGTAAAATGCTATTGTTATTAATTTTTATTATTTACAGACCATTCCTATTGCACTTGAAGGTAAAGATGTAGTTGCAATGGCCCGCACAGGATCTGGTAAAACGGCTTGTTTTGTGCTTCCTATATTAGAAAAGCTGTTGTCACCCACCAATAAGGCATTACCAGGAAAAAATCTTCGAGCACTTATTCTGTCACCTACAAGAGAATTAGCCTTACAGGTACCATTTAAAACTTTCTTGTTGGATATTATTCAAATAGTCTGTCAATCATTTTATTGTTTATAAAAAATATTAGGAATTATAAATGTTTATATTTATGATTAGTAGATGAAAGCCTAAATGTGAATGTCTATGTGTGTATCTTTGAGTATGAAGTACCTTTAAGAGTTGTTTAAACTGGATTTCCTAACTTTAAACATAAAATCACCAGAAGTGAACATGTCTTAACTAATATGACATTACTATTGGAAGAACTCCATCTGATTGGTATTTAATAAAACTTTCTTTTTCAAAGAAGTGGAAGCAAAGGAGTTGACAGCTGACCTGATAGTCAGTGCCGGCATGAAATACTATTACAATAAATACAATTCTAGTAGACCTTCTATCTCAAGTAATTGCATAACTGGACATCGCTAGTTATATCAATGTTGATGATTCCAATAAAATTGGTAAATTTGTTGCTACTCTCATATTTTTTCAAGAGAATATATACGAAGAATTAGTATTTATAGTACAATATTTATAGTAAATAAATATACAGTTACTGATGTGTCCTGGCAATTCCTGGTTTATCATTTTTAAAGTCTATTAAATACATTTCAGACATTGAGATTTGTCCGTGAACTGGGTAAGTTTACTGGATTGACATCAGCCGCTATCCTTGGTGGGGAATCCATTGAGCAACAGTTCAGTGTCATGTCTGGGAAGGCACCGGATATCGTTGTAGCTACGCCTGGCCGTTTTTTACATATTTGTATTGAAATGAGCCTCAAATTAGATAATATAAGTAAGTTGAAATATACATTTAATATCAAATTCTTAAAATATTTAGACCATCAACGTGTTATTATACATAGGGCTTCTTTATTATCTATTATGATTCTTACTTGTCTACTTACATAACAACCTGATGAAACATGGTGGGAGTCAATGGATGCAGGTGATACAGAACCATGTCTTGTTTGTAACTATCTATGAATGATGCCTGTGTTCAGCAATAGTCTTGAAATGGACTGTAATGAATAAATAGTTAGGGACAGCACCCAATATTTCTACTTAGTTTAACATAAAAAATTTATTTGCAGAAATTATGGTATTTGATGAAGCTGATAGATTATTTGAACTTGGCTTTGGTGAACAACTCAGGGAAATAGTGGCTAGACTGCCTTCTAATCGGCAAACACTCCTTTTCTCAGCCACATTACCTAAAATGCTTGTTGAATTTGCAAGGGCGGGTCTCAGTGATCCTGTGTTGATAAGATTGGATGTCGACTGGAAGCTACCGTCCACATTATGGTTGGGCTGGATATCAGTGAGAGCAGAATTGAAGACGGCTGCCTTATTACTGCTCCTAGACAAAATTCTCACATCTACAACTCCGCAAGCAGTAGTATTTGCAGCTACAAAGCATCATGTAGAGTATTTACACTTGGTAAGTTATCTTTAACTGCTGACTATTAATTACTTCTAATGTTTTTTCCACAAAATACACATTTATTACTAATATGACATATTATGTATCTTTAGTATAAGAACCCCACTGACTTTGTTAACTCATGGATGCAAATAAGCACAGAGTCCACCTGATTGTATCCATTTACAGTCAGGTTGACTGTGGCTTGTTGATACTTACATCTAAGGTATGAATCAAAATGCATATGTTATGACTCCTGAAGTTTAAGATGAAATGCCTCATTGCCAGTAAACGGGGTTTCTAGTTCACGTAACTTGCCATATGAAACACAACATTGTCATTCTCTAGCCAAGCAGCCAAACTGTACAGCCATATAACAACAACTCAAATAGACTCAAACTACTGTGGCTATATCTCTCTTATAGTTATAATATGTAAAAAAACATTGTCCAATATTATATGTGTTTACTTTTAGGCATTGTAATATGAATCTGTTCATGTAATATTTTTAGAGTATATACAAAAAATAGAATTCCACAAGGATTAAATCACAAGCAATGGCTTGAACATATAGAAAAAGGCCTAGTGTGGAGTCAAGTTTTTTAATTATTTTTTACAGACAAGGAAAAACCCCAATTTTTATTGCTTATCGTTTCTTTTAAATCCGTAAATATTGTGTTTATTCAAACCCAATATTTGTTTTGATTTGAATAGTAAAAGAGCAAGTTTAATTACAGGCATTTCCTCTTAGTCCTAGGTGGTTTGATTTATTTTTTAACATTTGTTGCTGATGTCCATTAATTACTGTCTGTACTCACATGTTATCTTTTGTAACCTTATTGGTCACTACATTTGGTTAGGCTTACATTATAAAAAAACGGGTTTCTATAGATTTTCCATTAAGAACAATTATGTATTTGACCAGACAGCAGGACAACGGAGGTAACACACATACAATAATTGTTGGAAGCTCCTGTCTTATGTCAAATAGAAATATCCCCAGCAAGGAATGAAATAAGAAGCTTCACATTTAAAGCACAGAGAATTATATTCTATACTTAGTATTCTATTATTCACAATTAAAATAAGCAAGGGTAAATTAAATAGAACGATTAAATTGTTTTAAATACCAATAATTATACATACATATTACAACAATCAAACATAACTTTTGAAATCCTCCTAATACTGTAAAATTTTACTAAGCAATGTATTGACATTAATTTTGTTCTAGATATTACAACAAGCTGGTATAACCTCCACATACGCCTACTCAGGGTTAGACCCTTCGGCTCGTAAGATCGCGTTGGGAAAATTCACAAACAAGAAATGCTCTGTGTTACTAGTTACTGATGTAGCAGCGAGAGGATTAGATTTGCCAGCCTTAGATACAGTCATTAATTATAATTTCCCTGCAAAACCAAAGCTGTTTGTACATCGAGTTGGTAAGTTACTAAGCTGACTACAAAAATTCACCTTTTTTAACTAATAATTATGTGTATGCGCTTAAGTCTCGTGAAGAACTTACCATAAAAATGATCCTATGAAGTAAGGTCTTACGTGCTCGGCTGTGAAAGAAAACATCGTGAGGAAACCTGCATGTCTGAGGAATAAGAACAAAAAAAAATTCGAAGGCATGTGAATTTTGCCAACATGCATTGGGGCAGCACGGCGGACACTTCCTTGCCCTAAAACCTGGCCTGAGGCCTGTGCCCAGTTGTTGGACATATATAGGCTGTAAATTTATGCGCTTAAGTGCGCGCTAGCGTGTGTGAGAGCACGCGTACGTGCATGCGTGCGTGCGTGCGTACTTTATAGGTATGATCGTATTTATTTTTGAAATTTATTTCGATATGGGAAAGAAAAGTTTATCATGCCGAAAATATAATACAGTATATCATGCCGAAAATATAATACAGTATATATTACACTATTATTATAATATTCACTACTTTGTAGTGGCGTTGTAAGAATATCCACTACCCCCTAACGCCTATTGGGTGTCGTAAGAAGCGATACAGGAAAACAAAGCAGTAGATGGACAGCAGTATCTTCCTAATAACAACTAAAATATAAAAAACTACGGTGCCAGCTCTGCAAAACGTGGCAACTGTGGCAAATATCCCCCTATGGGGCAATCTATGGGAAAGGCGTATGTTCAGCAGTGAGCTTTAGTAGGCTGTAACGGTTATTAACTTTATGAATAGCGAAGTAAATAAGGGTCTTCTGTTGTGAGTTGACAGTGTAATAAAACTACTCCATATTATCGTCGGTTGGGCACTATAAGAAATAAATTGCGGTATTACTAACTTGTATAATAAAGTCCTCCAGACCGAATTTCGGTTAAGGCGGGCAGGACAGGATTATTGTGCGCTAGTGTATGCGCAGTTATGGCAGAATCGCTGGAGGACCTTAGCACTATGCTCAATGACCTCAATGGTGTCTCCCAACGGATTGGTCTTAAGATGAACATGGACAAAACAAAGATCATGTTTAATGTCCATGTCATACCTATGCCGGTAGTTTTTGGGAACACTATGCTCGAAGTTGTTGAGGAGTACGTTTACCTGGGACAAATAGTCCGACTAGGTAAGTCCAACTTCGACCGAGAGGTCAATCGACGGATTCAACTCGGCTGGGCAGCGTTCGGGAAATCACGACACATCTTCTCGTCAGGTATACCTCAATCTCTGAAAACTTAAGTGTACAACCAGTGCGTGTTGCCAGTGATGACTTACGGATCAGAGACGTGGTCCTTCACTGCTGGCCGTATGAGGACGCTCAAGGTCGCTCAGCGAGCTATGGAGAGGGCTATGCTCGGAGTTTCTCTGCGTGATAGACTCAGAAATGAGAATATCCGTAGTAAAACCAGAGTGACCGACATAGCCCAACGAATTAGTAAGCTGAAGTGGCAATGGGCCGACCATATAGCTCGAAGAACCGATAACCGATGGGGAAGAAAGGTTCTCGAATGGCAGCCTCGTACCGGTAGGCGTAGTGTGTAGGGCGACCCCCCACTAGAGTGGAGTGACGACCTGGTAAGACATGTAGGAAGTCGATGGATGCAGGTAGCTCAGGACCGTGCTTTGTGGCGTTACTTGGGGGAGGCCTATGTTCAGCAGTGGACTTGTGAAGGGCTGTAATGATGATGATGATGTATGCGCAAGCACAAGTGCAATCTTAATTCCCTTACTCTCATAGTCTGATGGGACGGTAATCCGAATCGACCGGACAGAGATCAGAGCATGTCTTACAGTTTAGCTTACAGTGAAACACCGCCAACTTCCTATTACCGAGAATTATTGACAGGTTACCCAAAAGTTAGTTTTATCTGTCAAGAATTTGAAAAGCTTAACTTGATTTTGGCCCGATCCGGAATTCGAACACGGGACCTCATGGTAAAAAATCGTGTTTAGGACCACGAGGCAGTCAACCTTGTACATGCCAGGCTTACGTCAAGGTATAAGACGGTTGACACTGAGGTTGCTAATTTACCTGTATAACTTTTTTAAATTGAATAAGGGTGACATACAAGCACACGGACAACCTGATGGTAAGTGGATGCTGTAACCCATAGACCTTCAACTAAGGATCAAAATGAATATGCGTTGTCACTTCCGAGGACTAAGATAGAGTGCCCCCATTTCAGTAAAAAGGGTCTCCGGTTCTCTAAACTCACCATACGAAACACAGTAGCATTGAGCTACTATTTTACGCTGGCATTCTGTTAGACCGTTGTCCTACCCCGGTCGAGCCGACCCATTAATTAAAATTATCGATTACGCACCCACAATGGGAAGTCATTACGACACCCACTCGACAAAAAATAGCTATTAATAAAGTAAAGCGGACTTTAAAGAACTAAAAAATATATTATCATTTCAAATTCTAAAGTCGGTGTTAAGATATAGTGCCCGACTAAGATATATCACAATTAAACAATATTAATTTTTTTATCCATTATTTTACCACTCTTAGAGGTGGAATCTCTTACCACAAATAATTATATTTCTAAAAACCCTAGGGTCAGTTTAGTGTGTAATCAATCATGTTTATCAATTCTTAAATTCTCATTTGTCCATTTGTTCGTACATACATCATAATATCCAATGATAGACTGTTACAATATTTCTGAAATAAAAATAACTTTGTGAATTGTGAATATTTATGTGTTATCTACCTTTTAGGTAGAAGTGCCAGAGCTGGAAGAGCTGGTAGAGCCTTTTCCCTGATTGCGGCGGAAGATGTCGCTCATCTTCTAGATCTACAGCTGTTCCTTGGTGCGGAACTCTTACAGCCTGGGCAGTCGTTTGGGAAGGACTGCCCCAGCGGCGTGTGGGGCACAATGCCTACTGGACAGCTAGAAATACGCCACCAGGATGTTATGGCTTGGGAGAAGAATAACTCGGAAATTGTACGCTTATTTATTTTATTTCTGAAGTTTACATACTTGCGCAAAACTTATGTACATCATTTTAAAACTAGTCATGTTAATATTCTTCATTAACCCTTCAATCCCCATAAAATTCCCATGCAGTCGCATGTGTCAGTCAAGTCGCATGCGACCACTCGGGATTTGAAGTAGAATAAAATCTGAAGTAGTATAAGAATAAAAATACATAGAGTAACTGATTTTTGTTTAGACCACAGGATAGAAAATTTCGTATAGATTCTATAATGCCAAACTTCTTCATAGAAAAGCAGTTTCTAAATATAAATATTTATGGGTTAAAGTGCTGTGGGTGGATGCGGTCGAATTTTGACGGAACATCGCTTTGGTCGGATCCGACCGTGTGCCCATTGAAAGGTTAAATTCGTAAGCAAGCTAATTTTACACTGATTGATGGTAGGCGGCTTATTAGTTTCTCTCTTCTTGTTTCTGTTACTTTTATGGTTTTTTCTTCTTTAATAGACTAACTTTCGTTTCGTTTCTGATCATAGATAGTCTGTTAGTTTTAAAGTAGAGTTTTGATGTCAGGAAGACGCGGCTCGTGTTTGTTCGCGCGGTTGGCAGCAGTACGTGCGGTGGCGAGAGCCCGCCTCCGCGGAGGCCAACAAGCGCGCCAAGGCCACGGCGCCGCCTACACAAGTGCACCCCTTCCTGGTCGACGACGCCACCGAGACCACCGTCGACCTGGTCACCAAGATCAAGAACTACACGCCGAAAGGGGTAAAGTACTCGTTTCCATAGATCCATCTACTGAAGCCTACCGAAGGTTCAGAGGATACTTAGTTGCTACGCCTTGACAACCACAGAGTTTATTTTTTATTTTGAGTTATTATCATCAGAAAGATGCTGCTCATCTCCTGTTTCACTTCGCTATGTTGCCTCTTAGGATAGGGTCCCTACACTACACTTCATGTTTTTGCATATACCACGCTTCCACAGAATAACAGCCTAAAATAGCAGCTTAGTACTGCTGTATTTCATATGGTGAGTGTAGAGATCTGGAGACCCTTTTTTACTGGAAACGAGGCATTCCATCTTAGTACTCAGGATAAATGTAGATGTCTATGGGCCACAGCATCCACTTACCATCAGGTGGACTGTGTGCTCATTTGTCAACCTAATTCTATAAAAAAAAACTCATGGGCTGCAGTACAACATATCAGCAATGATCTATACAAATTAATAAAATTGACATGTCTGTTTGTAATTTCATAATTTCAACTTTTTACTAAGCGCATATAAATATGAAAGTATATATAGGGTACCTGTCTGTCTGTCAGTTTGTTTCGGCTAATCTTCGAAGCGACTGGACCAATTTTGACGGGACTTTCACTGGCAGATAGCTGATGTTTTAAGGAGTAACTTAGGCTACTTTTATTTTTAAAAAATAGATAGGGTTTCGTGCAAAAATATTAAGATCCATGAAATCCAATCGTAATAAAATCCACGCGGACAAAGTCGTGCAACAAGTGTCAAACAGCTAGTATTGTATATAATCGAACGGATATTTAAGTCCTAAAATATTCAACGATGACCAGTATATTATGTCATATAATAAGTGATTCTTTTGCAAACAATTTTTTTCTATTGGATTTTTAATGATGTTTGTGTTATTTCAGACAATATTGGAATTGGGCGGCAAAAATGACTCACCAATGTTCTTAGCAATGAAGGCTAAGAGACGGGTGCATGGAAAGAAAGTACAGAAAGCCAGGGAAAACAAAAACTCCGAGGTATGGTATTGAGATCTCACCTTGTACACAAACATAAAGTGAAGATACTGAAATAAAAACATGTCTTATAAAATATTAAAAAGAACTTTAAAACAGAAAGAAACTGCAATCCACTAGGTGCTGTTCTTATCTGCCTAGAATTGAGTTTCTATCACTCCCTTATCTATGCATATGTAAAAGTTTTTTTTTTATAGGACAGGGTGACAAACGAGCACACGGTCCACCCGATGGTAAGTGGTTGCTGCGGCCCACAGACATCTACATCTATCCTCGATTACGAAACAAAATGCAGATGCGATGTCACCCGTGAGGACTAAGATGGAATGCCTCGTTTCCAGTAAAAATGGTATCCGTTTCTCTACACTCACAATACGAAACACAGTAGCATTAAGCTACTATTTGACGATGGTATTCTGTGAGAGTGTGGTCCTTCCCCGGTCGAGCCGACCCATTCGTGCTACAAATATACTACTAATATAACTGCAGCATGGCTCTACCACGTAGAAAATAGTAATATAATATTTTATATTTATATTAAATATTTCTACACACTGAAATCACTTCACATTAAATATTGTATGACACACAGAAAGTTGTTCAAAAATTCACAGAAATCCCAAAATAGGTCAACTTTTCATTAGAAATAAATGTTCAGGTTTTTAATCAATGTACGGAACAGGAATTTTCACTAGTGATTGATTTTTTACATCGTAGAGTTTTTTGTGGGTGTATTATGACTGAAGTACAAATGAGTGGACTTGACCTGAAAGTTAACTTTAAAAGAGGCTATTTTTTGCTATTTCACGTCTAAATCGCGTATTTTGCGTGTTTGCAGGAATATTGTAGTTTTTCGAACCATGATATCTGCTCGAAAAAGTTCATCATCATCATCATTACAGCCCGTCACAAGTTCACTGCTGAATATAGGTCTCCCCTAAGAAATGCCATAAAGCTGACGACTGTTGGTCTCCGGAAAGGATCTCGGCACGTCGAGATATTTTGACTCCCCTTCCTCTCTCATGCAAGTCCTGCATAGAAGACTGCCTGTAACACCCATTGTAAACTTATGCTTGTATTAAAGAACCATTTCCTGTAATAGTAACTATCTGGGCCTATGGTTTCTGTAGTCATACTCAACCTAGAAAGGATCATGCTTTCAAAGGATTCCGGCTTAAAGTAGAAACATAAAGCTGCTGTACTTTGTATAGTAGATGACGAGAAACGTTGACGCTTTTTACTGATAACGTCGCATTCCATCTTAGTTCTCAGGTATAACAACACATTTGTATTTTAATTTTTATTCGAGCACTGTCTATGGGCCACTGTATCCAATTGATAGTCATCCATCAGTTGCTCGTTTTTCATCTGTCACATATAATAAAATAATTCTATTATTATTATAATCCAAAATTTACATATACAGTGGAGCCCCGGTAATCCGGTCCCTGACTAATGCGGCGCCCCCTATTATCCGACATCGTCTATTACATACATGTATTCGCTAATGCACGATTGAACAAGTTACAACTTGTACGCAACATCACTATTGTGCTCGACGCGTGTTTTGATTCTGATTGTGTTGTTGTGTATTACGTATACGTACGTAGTAATGTCTCAAGCTCAGAAGCGAAAGCACAAAACACTGACAATTAAAGAAAAATGTGATATTTTAGACCGCCTAAATCGTACCTAATGAATCTTTCAGTAGTTTAGCAAGTGAATACGGCGTAGGCCGATCTACAATTTATGACATTAAATTAAATTTTAGTACATATGTACTTACATTTGTTTGTACACAAATGTTATGTTCCTAATGTTATGTATATTATTGCATGTTTTTTGGTAAATTTTATAGCATTAATGACGTTAATTTTATAATAAAACGCTATCTTTTAATTATTGTGTTGTGTAATTTACTAAATTTGACAGACATAATGAAGTATGATTTGTAATCTTATCATTGGATCTGTGATTTGTCGGATTACAAGGTACTTTTTTGTAAAAAAATTCGGACTATAGGGTGTCTTAGGGAGTACTCTATAATCCGACAAATTCGATAGTTCGACATTGCCCTGCAAAGTGTTTGTCGGACTACCGGGGATCTACTGTACATGTCTGTGAGAAATTAAATATTTGATTTTAGATGGATAATATATTGGAGGACACAACCAATATCAAGTCAAGTAAAAACGCTGAAAGCAATCAGTCTAAAAAGAAAGGAAAGAAAGAGGTTGTTCGTGATGAGAATTACATACCACACTTTGCCAGCGACCAACACACAGAAACTGGGTATTTTTTTTTTGATATTTATAACAATAATAATAAATATTTATTATATTTATAAATTATAGGCTAACTAAAATCCATTCAGATGATGGTAAGTGGTAATTTCTATTAACTTTTCCCTCAAAGACGTTCACGTTATTGAACAGAAAGAATGGTGGCAGATGAAAATACAACTGCATGGAATATTTACCGTGGCAACTACTCGCTCACGCGATCCAAGGCTGTAACTCCGCGTATCGATTTTGCGCTCCAAGAGGTCGAACATTGGCGCGCGTTCCAGCCGCGTGAAATGGATACCGACTTGGAACGCGCGCCAAATTGTTCGTTGGAACGCTCAAACGTGAAACGGGACGTCCCATCTGGTGTCGGTTTCTTACCGCGTATCAAAGTAGCTATAGTTCATAAAAGATAGCTTGATCTCTGCGACAGCTGTCAGTAAAATCACGCCTATGAAGTCCTGAATTTCTTAGTAGTACTGACACACAGTACCTGTCAATGTCATACTTTATGGGCATGTCGACCTAATTAGTGCATGCCCATAAAGTATGACATTGACAGGTACTGTGTGTCTGTACTACTAAGAAATTCAGGACTTCATAGGCGTGATTTTACTGACAGCTGTCGCAGAGATCAAGTTATCTTTTATGAACCACAAGTATTAGCGCGCGCGCCGGTTGGGATGGTTGTTTTCATCATTTGTGTGTTGTCGATAACCAAAGTTGCCGTAAATTCATAAAGTTATATTGTTCAAAAGGACTGCTGTGAAATAGCAAAAGTCGTTATTGTCATAATAAAGCGCTAAGAAAAGGATGGAGAGAATTATGAAACACTGACACTGGAATAGCTGCCGCTTAGTTAACCTGTAAAGTCGCCGACGGTACACATGTGTACAAGAAATAAACATCTTCCGCTCGCTCGATAGAGGTACACATGTGTACAACAAGCACTACCCTTTGAAAAAGAATTTTTTTAATTAAAACAAAACCAAAGACACTATGCAATAGATAATAGTATCAAAGACAAAGATATGCTCTTTTATTTTAAACCATAACCTGGCAATGTTTCTTAGAAAAAAAAAAGAAATCACTCTGAACTTTCGGCGTTCCACGTGTCGCTTTGATGAAGGTGCTCCGTCTTTTTTATAGAATTTTATATTTGTGTCTGGACTAAAAACGAAAGTATTATACTTTTTTATATTCCTTGTAATATAGTAAACACGTAGATATATAATTTGTGGTATAAAAAGTGAAAAGTAAATTGCCAAAAGTACTTCGAAATACGGAACGCCCATTTTGGCGGTTGGGTCATAAATGTGTTATTTTTCCAATTTTCATTTATTTTTAGTGTAAAATGTAAGTAAAAATAGTTTTCTTACATATTTCAAATAACTTGACGTTGTATTTATTTCAAATTCACACAAAAATATTTTTGAAATATTGTTCGAAATGTCATACAGATAAATATTATTATTATTTTTTTTTATATTTTAATATTTTGGTATGAGTAACGAATAGAAACACATAAAACATAAAAATATACATATTTCCAAACATTTTCATATAAATTTCTCCAAAAACAAAAGTGTAGAATTCAAATTAGTAGTAACTTTGGCACTAAAAGTGAAGTATATACTACTACTTATGCTATAAAGGGTAATTTATGAATTTTATTATAATTTCTAGCAACCAAAATAATTTTATTCAATAGTTTATACATTCAACAAGAATTCCTGTAAGTTATATCCATAAATATTGTCTCAAAGTGAAAATATAGCAAAATTTGCAATATAGCAAAAAAATTTGCTAATTTGCAAATTTTCCCGCCATTACGGTCGCGAGCGAACGGGAGTGTCATATTACGTGGCCTCGCGAGCTAACAGGAATACTTGGAACATTTGGAACATGTTCCGCGGAACGCACTGGTCGGCGCGGTTGTTTACGGCACGCGTGCCAGGAGCGCGTAATCGATACGCGGCTTTACACAGTTTTTGTTCTGAATTGCCTTTCTCGTAATATACATAGAAGTCTTTGGATGTAATGGTGAGAACTTGCACTGGATTAAACTTTCACCCCGTTGAGTGGTCTTATTACTACTAAGAAATAGTATGGCATTTGTATATCATATGTATACGTAAGATTGTTCGGAACACAGTTTTAAGAACTTACAGTTGGGAAACGATTCTAATGTGCAGAGCAAATGTGGGCAACTGCGAGGGAGGGGGCGGGCCGACCTTGTGCTATCGCACTTCAATGAGTCTGATAGACAATACATGCGGTTGGCGCTAGCGTGTTTTATAGTACTTATTTAACTAATTTTAAGAGCCGTTGTCGAAAAATAATATAATCAGGGGTCTAATAACAAAGGCGGCAAAGTCCCATATCGTTATATGGGACTTTGCCTCCTTTGTTATTAGACCCCTAATATATAATATTTATACGTGGTAGAGCCATGCTGCAGTTATATTAGTAGTATAGTTGTAGCACGAATGGTTCGGCTCGACCGGGGCGGAACCACGCTCTCACAGAATACCGGCGTGAAATAGTAACTTAATGCTGCTGTGTTTCGTATGGTGAGTGTAGAGAACCGGAGAACCTTTTTACTGGAAAGGAGGCATTCCATCTTAGTCCTCACTGGTGACAACGCATCTGCATTTTGATTCGTAATCGAGGATAGATGTAGATGTCTATGGGCCGCAGCAACCACTTACCATCAGGTGGGCTGTGTGCTCGTTTGTCACCCTATCCTATAAAAAAATTGTGAATTACTCTTATAGTTGTATGAGTTACTAAGTAAAATTGAATTAAATGCTAATGTTTGCCTCTTTTTTTTTGTTGTTGATATACTTGTTTATCCGAATACGAAATCAAATATAACAATCAAAAACCCGAAAATATCTATAAAAAGAAAAGGTCACGGAAATATTTCGCAGTGCACCACTTTTAAATGTATTTTTTTCTTATAGTAATAAAAAATGTCCTTGTTCGATAAATGTTTTTACCTTATAAGTATATACATAATGTTGATAAATTATTACTATAATATGCAAAATTATTTATTTCCATTTTCGTGACAACCCCTAGCATATAGCTAGCCACACATACGCGGGTGGCGGCATCGCCTAACATCAAAGGTGTTTCACAACTGTAAGGCCTAAACTGTGGTTCGGAAACTTCACTAGTGCGGTTTAGGCCTCGGCCGTTGATCGAACCGTTTCTATGACCACAAATGTAAATAATATGTAGGTATAAGAAGAAGAAGCCTTGTCTCTTGGGTTAATCACGTTCCATTACACAGGATGGCAGTAAACTTCGCTGTGGGTGCTTCTTCGGCTGAATTAGAGCTGGGTGCCGACAGTAGCGAAGGTGTTCGGTCTCGTAAGGCGCAACTCCGCTGGGACCGCAAGAGGAAGAAGATGGTGCATGTTGACCCTGTATGTATTTTTAAAGCTTTCCTAATTTCTATTATTTGGATTTATGATTCAATAAAAAAGGAAAACCATATCGTCCAAATATCCACTACCCCATGTCCCATAACTATCGTAAGAGGCGACTGAGATAATAATAGACGTGGTAGAGACATGCTGCAGCTATACCGCTCGATCCAATCGACTCAAGCGTCGCAGGCACATCACACAACGACACTACACCCACACTAATTGGGACAAACACAAATAGGACAGCGAATGGGACGCGTCGCACCCGCAGACGGGCACGACGCGTTCCAGCTCACACCGCGTACGCACCGCACACCCGCGTTCCTGGACGATTCTCACCACCCAGACCACCGACCGACACGAGCTGAGCAGTCAGAGACGGGGGTCCGCGCAACCCCCCTTAGACTGCGGTTAGATAGCTCAAAGAAAATCGCCTAAAAGGCGACATGATGATTGGTAACAATATCAAATCATAAACCATCTCATCGTCATTTTCACCTCATTGCCTTTCCCTTTTTAATTAGCTCGCGGCCTGCGAGGCCGCGAGCTAATAAAGGGCCCTGCCCTGAGACAAGATGAAGCTGTAAGAGTCGCATAGACTAACAGCACTAACATCTAGATAATAGAGCTGCAGCTATATTAAAAAAGTAACTCAACATGATAAAAAATTAAAATTATAAAAGTACTGCTGTGGCCAATCCGTTTACCAAGCGTGGCTACTATCCGTTGTAATAATTAATTTAAAAAAAAAACTAAATTTCTTCAATTGAAATTTAAAATTAAAATTAAAAAAAAATTGAAAATTATCTTCAAATTGAAAACCAAAACCTTCCATTTAATTTAGGATTCTTTAAAGCTCTTATGAACGTCTACATCCGTTTACTGAACCGGCGTCGATTTCGACTTTCAAGAGTTTTTATCATAAAATACTGTAATACACAATAATAACGAGAACCGGTGTCGCCGGGAGCACACATACAAGCGGTTATTTCGTATTATCACTACTAGAAACCCAATTCGATCATTGGTCATACAAGTTTCAATTAATAAATTTTACAAACTCATTTTAACATTACACAAAATCTGACTTTGTTCCAAGGCAATAACAGCGGATTCGCAACGAATCTCACAGACCGTCTCTTTCTGAAAAGAAAGAGAACGAATAACTGTGTTAACAGACTGAGCGAATTCGCACATTTTAGACTTTTGATCGATGTTCACTTGTTTGATGTTCGCAATCATCATTCAAAAAGGAAATCGTTTAAATTTTAATCATATTTATTCGTAGTGTGAAAATTAATTGCAAATACAATCACAGTAAGATGCGTAACATCATATTCGTTTGTACGTTTAAGCAAACTAGTATATAATGCTATCACAGCTAAGGATGTAATCTTGTTTAGTGATTTACCGGTAACCGGTAACCACCGGTAAAACTTGAGTATGTACATATAGTTTGAAATATTTCAATAATATTTGCTATTTTTGTTTTAAGAGTCGACAGCACTTCAATTAGTTTTGTACAAACTTCTACTAAAAGATATATACTAAAGTGTTTCAATCTATAATTTATATGCAATGAAAAAATGTGTATAAAATCACTAAACACATTGTTATCCATTGTATGATGATGACAATTTTGAATTGCTTCAGAAAATATAAGACAAAAACAAAATGTATTGCAGAAAAAAATCCATACTTTTCTATTTTAATGCGAAGATCTGTCCAGCTTTCTTATATGACTACACTGCTGAACTGATTTTGATAAAATTGAAACAGTGTGATGTGTGGTAGAGTTAAAAAGGTAAACTATCACAGCTAAGAAGGCTTTACAAATTTGGTCGTTATTGGCCGTTAAGGGGAAATATTAAAAATACTACCACAAATGGCTTATAGCAAGATCCTCCGTTATGCCGAAAATATTGCAGCATTAATTTTGAAATAAATATATGGTAAAGTTGAGGATTGATGTTAAGTACTATGTTAGACGAACACATGATTCCGTAAAATTTTCTCGATAGAATAAAAATCCAAAGTTACCTCCAAACTGTACAATAAACCGCTGTTATTCATAAAATACTTTAAATTAGATCATGAAACTTTGCATACTGACTGAACTAACTAAAACAGGGCTTGTTTTTTTTTAAATTACCATTATTTTCACTGCAAAAAGAAATTACCTAAACTATCAGCGTCTTGAAGCTTGTTTCCTGCCGCCCGGTTAGTCTCGCTTCGGTGTTCGAACGGGGAAGTTGCGTCACTTACGATCAGAATACACATTACGCAACAGGACGACGTAAAATTAAAATGGGAAATAACCGTAATAAAAATAAGAAGTGACTGGGTTGGCATAAAGAAACAGACATAAATATGATAAACTATATGAAATAAGTATCTAACGACCTATGTACTTACAGTATTAGTGATTACAACCATGTCGGTAAATAGCATACGACGCGCGGGGAAGTGGGGGCGAAATTAGAATTTGTGATGTGTTACTATATCCCCTTAAACTGCGAACTTTAGGAAAAAGCTATGAAAGGAAATGCTAAGCCACTCAACCGTATACCCGTAACCGTCAGCCGTATTCAGATAGCTGGAAACATTAAAGAGGCTAGGCTACCTTTTATCCTTAAAATTTACTATAGAGAACGCGGTATGACCGACTTCCACGCGGACGAAAGTGTTCATATTATTCTTTAAATTTCTATTTCTTTATTATTGGTTGTGTTTAAAATGAGTTGAACTATTTGCCTACGTTGTTTAACATCCATAAGTCGCAATACGCTACAAAACAACCTAACGAATACAAAAGTAACTATAAAAAAATTTAAATTATTACTGGTCTATTAAGAAGGCGGTACTTACTTCGTTTAATAAATAAAATAGTATTTACAGGATATTAAAATCTATTAAAAAGTTTATGTTATAGTAATCATTAAACGATTTAATAGACATTTGTCAAGTTTTATGTTTGCCGAAAATTTTCAATATTCAACGACAATTCGTGAAATTGCATTGTCCTTCAAATATTTTTTGTGATATATCGATAAGAAGTCAGTATGAAAAAAATATTATTTAAGCCTTCCGTGGCCTCTATCCATATTTCTATGTTCGGATCTCCAGGAAAACTACAAAAATGGTTTATGTAAATAAAAATATATCATAACTTATCTAAAAAAAGTACCCATAGCAGTAAATAGTACAGTACTGGTAGGCCAACACCAGGCAAGAGCAAAAAATAGTACAGTATTGATAGGCCAACACCAGGCAAGAGCAAAATCGGAAGAAAAGTATGAAAAATACATATTAAAAATATATTTCTTTACTTGTAACACAAAATGGTTCTACCCAACCTTTTTAGGTGATTGAGCGTGAAGTGAACATACATTATGTAGTAATGATATGTAACCAGAAGATTGAATCTAAGAAGTTATTGAAAATTTTCAATAAAGGGAATAAAATTACAATTTAATTTAAAAATTGTATAACAATTTGTTTGTAAGACATTAAATTACTATTTTCCATCGTTTTTGGTCGCATCTATTTAGCATGTCATTATACAATTTTTAAAGCGACGATATTTCCCGGTTTACCAGTATCAGTAAAATTTTATTACATCCCAAGTACTTTTTTTTTATTTATTATAAAAAAGAATATTAACAATGCTATAAACATGACTAATATTCTCCCTAACTACTCGTGGTAAGCTTAAATTGCTTGTGTTACGAGTGATTCACGCCAGTAGTCGAATGGCGGATTCGAACCCACGACCTTTTTGAGTTCGCGGTCCGCGCCCTGCCATTAGGCTACTGTCGCCTAAACTAACTTATGTTTTTACATATCAATATTTCTTTATTTTTGATTCTAATATTCATAAAATATAAATAGTTTCGACTTTCGACCTGCTGGTGGAAGGACATACTACACTTTTATTTAAATTCCACATACGGCTGTTTTTCCGACACGTAATTATCGTACAAATCGGCATTTTTGAAATAAATTGTACCCAGCAACGCTTGGCACAAAAATTGGGCAACAATTTTGATCTAAAAAAAGAGATAAGTTGACATTTATAAGTGTCTATTGACATGTTAGTGGCTACACGCGGGCAGCGCCCACTCTCCCGTTGTATTGTGTATGTACTACTATAGTATTCTATGGTTTATACCACGTGCTTGGCGTTGAAGGAAAACATCGTGGGCAAATCTGCATGTCTGAGAAATAAAAATAAATTATTTCGAAGACATGTGAAGTTCGCCAACACGCATTATGGCAATGAGCGGTGGCCTGTACCCAGTAGTGGGACGTATATAGGCTGTAACCTTATGGTTTTTATTGTTACGAGAGGTTATATTATAAGAGTAGTATCTGAGTAGAGTAACTAGAGTAATATTCACCTAATTTCTTAAATTAGAGGTAGTTAAAAAGCAACATACATTCATATATACATACACACACACTGTAATCTATCACTCTTTCTGACACAGCTAATTTCACTCACAATGATGCAAAGCATTTCAAAGCTTACCGTGTTGTACATAGAATTAATTTTGACTTGCAGGACGGTGGTCGCAAAATGATCCGAACGGAGAGCGGCGGGCGAGTGCCCGCGACGTTCCGCAGCGGCCGCTACGACGAGTGGAGAAAGAGGAACGCACAGCACGACGACGACGATGACGATGACGACAAGAGGCACGACGCGAACAGAATAAAGCCAGGTATGCTTTTTATAGAATGTATCAAATGAGCACAGTCCACCTGACGGTTAGTGTACTCTGTCGTCCATAGAGACATCTACATCTATACTCGATTAGGGATCAAAATGCAGATGCGTTGTCACCCCTCTTTATACCCCTGAATAATTGAAGTGCCCCTCAGAAGACACTATCTCGAGCCATCTTAACAAGCCCGCATGGTATTCGTTTATAAGCAGCCCTTTGATGAAACATAATTTTATCTTGTTCTAAGTCGCCTATAACTTGACTTCATTGCCGCCCTAATTTACAAATATGGATCTATTGACATGGATCTGGCTACCTCTGGTTGAAGTTTCGTTATTTTAATTGTAATATAAATCAAAATAAGATATTTTGATTTATATTACAAGCAACAAACTGTTTACACGGCGAGGTTAAAGAGATATCACGACGATCTATGCAACAATGTTGTCGAATGCGGACGGACGGGATAATATATATTGACATGTTTACGACAAACCACCTTTTTACTTGAGGCCTGCACTCATAATATTTGTCATACAAAAATATTTCGTATTTTCTAACAAGTAAACGTCCCCCGCCATGAAATCTGTCAAATAAAGTGTGCCAAAGTGGCGCCGGCCCGCTGGCAGAAAATCGTGAACCATTCCTTCATTGGCTTTATTAGCCTTTACTCGAATAGTAATAACGTGATCAGAATATAGATCTTGGCAAGACTTAAACGTATGGAGTGTAGAAGCAAGGAGTACCAACTCCCATAGTGGAATAGTTGAAAAAGTGGTCATCTGTAAGCAGTAAATAACAGTTCAAAAACTCTCAACAGCGCTGGAGTAGCTACTGGGATGAAATGAAAAACTTTGCAGTTTCGACTGTTTCAAGTGTGCTGCTAAACTGCTCGGTAGCTCTAAAATCTAAAATAATTTTATTTAGTAAATATAACCTCGATAAAATCGTCTATCCCACTAATATTTTTCGGCACATTCTTTAAAGTATACCCCGTAGCTATAGTGGCGCCACGCTTATTTAACGGTTTTCTATGGACACTTTTTAATACAGTCTGTACTCCTTACTTCTACACTCCATACTTAAACACTTTACAATTTTGGTAGCGCCATTTTGCACAGGTTCACGTTTAGACAATTACACGATTCTGAATTTTGAATTCTTAAATGTTTCTACCGATCAATAATTACTGATCATACTACGAACCAATCAGATGAACGCTTATAACCTAAATTAAAAAAAAATCTTTACTGCGCATGTTGCCGTAATGTTAATTTGGGTCCTTGGTTCGAACTGATCGAGTCTGAGATATGTGTTTCCATTTTGTCAAGGAAGGAAATGTGATGTTTTCCACTATGCATTGGGCGTAGTGGACTTGCCCTCTGCTGGCTCACAGTGCACTTTCATTTGTCAGATATAGCTATATCCGACGGTGAACTAATTACTAATTAAATTCTATTATTGTTCGCAGTATCAGAATTTCGTCCGCACTGGGTGAAGCACAATGAGCGCGTGGCCAAAAAGAAGTCAGAGGCTTCGTCGAAGGAGTTCCGAAACAAGCAGCAGATCGTTAAAGAGCGCTTGCGTAAGGAGAAAATCAAGCAGAAACTGAAATACAAAATGAGATTGAAGAAGAAAAAGAAAAAGTAATAAAGAGAATAAATCTTTTATGATTTTGATATTATTTTAATAACCATAAAAGTCCTGTTTAGTAACCGATTGAATTTTTACTTTTTTATTTTCATACAATTTTTTTTTATAGGATAAGGATGACAAACGAGCACAGTCCACCTGATGGTAAGTGGTTGCTGTGGTCCAAAGACATCTACATCAACCTTCGATTACGAATCGAAATGCAGATGTGTTGTCACCCGTGAGTACTAAGATGGAATGCCTCCTTTCCAGTAAGGTGTCCGTTTCTCTACACTCACCATACAAAACACAGCAGCGTTAAGCTACTTTACACTGGTATTCTGTGAGCGTGTCCTACCCCGGTCTAGCCTATCTATTCGTGCTACAACTATACTTCTAATATGGCTGCAACATGGCAGTGGCGAAGCTAGGGCTCCAAACTAGGGCAAGCCCAAGATATGGTTTTGTTGTTTTTAGCAGTTTAATAAAAATACACCAATCTTGAGCTGTCTCCACTCTTTAGTTTGATATTCAGTGCTGACAAGGACGTGTTTAACAAAGCACACAGAAAGCATACTACCGCTGGATAGATTGTATGACATAATATGCAATTGCACACCTTCGGTGGTTTTGAAAAGAGCCGTTTGGGTTTGCTTGAGATATTTACAAACAATACAATACATGAACAAAGTACAAACAAACTATGTACAAAGTTAAAAAAGGGACGCCTGGCAGATGTGAAACCTCGAAATTATATTTTGTTTAAGTTATATGCATAAAAGAACAGATTACGACAGGAATTAGATAGTTATAATGAGAAGATAAAGCTTTGCTAATTTTTTACCATAAAATAATGACTATTTATTATAGTTATAATTATTCATTTTCAATTCATAATAAACCGTACAAAATGATATTTTTAAACTCATATATCATATATATCACTATAAATTAGCCGATAGCGTATTTGTGCCATCTAACGTAATCTTTAGGTACCATCGTGAGAATCAACCAATTTTCGTTCGATAAAATGACTTTACGTATAGAATTAAGCAGATGGCGCCATTAAAATTTTATATACTGAAAAGTAGACAGAGAAACCTAACTGGAAATAACTAAAGGGAGTACTATTCTTTAAAACCTCAATACATTCTTCTGTATTCTTTTGATTTATTTAATTAAACACAACACAACAAAAACAAACATAAACATTGAAATGTGAAGTGAACTTGCATACGAAGGGCCCGCAACCACGCTAATCTATCTAGTCGCTAACGCACTCCTAAACAAATTCATTGCAAAGCCAGACGTGTTGGCTCAATAGTAATTGCTATATAAACATTTCGTAGTTATATTTCATTATAGAATATTTTGCCATAGGTTAGAAAGAGAGCGATCGTCTTCTCGAAAGCCCCGTGAAAAGCCCACCCGAGTGAGGGAGACAACTAATCGCTCTATTAAAACTCACTTTATGACAGCAGCAGTATCGCCACAGAGTACCTTTGTATAAACGTATCGCTAAGGCAATACGAGGATATATATATATATATAATATATATATATATATATATATATATATATATATATATATATATATATATATATATATATATATACCTGCCTTCGATAAAGAACCAAAATGGAAATGCGTTATCTCCCATGAATACCAAGATGAAATGCCTCTTTTCAAGTAAAAAGAATATCCGGTTCTCTACACCCACCATAAGAAACAGAATCAATAGGCTGCTATTTCAGGCTGGTATTTCTGTGAGAGCGTTAGTCCTACCCCGGTCGAGCCAATCCTTACGTGCTGCAACCATTAAATAGCTGCAACAAGGCTTTACTACCATTTTAATTTTCAATACTATGTCATTTGATTATTGCCAAGAAGTAAATATGCGCGAACTTGTCCCCCACTGCTGTCGTTACATGCTCACAACATGTCATTACCTTTTGCGGTCATTAGGCTCATATAAACATCGATGTTCTTAAAAAAAAAACGTAACTATAAATGTTAAAAATATAGACGTTTAAGAATGATCACGCGAATATGATTCTTTTTTCAATATCCCTGATGTCCACCAGCCAACTTTTGATTAACTGATTGTCCTTGATCACTTGCCATTTGTAACCTTAGCATTCTAGCTAAGACAAAGAACATACTTCTCTCTAGAGGAAGATCTAATTTGGCAGCAAATATAATTAATTACATGTACACGAGTGACTGCCAGTGATCCAGTTTACTTGCTTGCGTGAGGGAAGGTTTATTCTATAATATATTAATAGTTCTCGCGGCCTTTAATAAATAGCAGTTTCATAGGAGCAAAATTATGGAAAATTATAGTACGTATAAAAAAGTGTCCTACCTAGTTTGAAGAGCTCCTCCCGCCCTCTCTCAATTGGCTGTACTATTTCCGTCACCACTAATCCTAACACCACAACACTAAACAAGTGGTAAAATTAAAAGAAAATTTAACAACAGACTTCAATATAAATAAAATGAAATCATCAATATAGTCGAAGTTAATTAACCTTTTGAGCGCCACGCCAAAAACGCTAAATAAATTACGGTGTCCTGTACGTCAAAGCGAAAAGTAAACAAAAATACCTACGAAAAAAATAGTGTTGCCAAGAGTTTATATCGATAACACAAAATAACTTGATTTTGTTGGTTTTTTATGCAATAAATGACTTTATAATCTGGTATGTTTTATTTAATCTAGTGCAGTCTTCCATTCTTTTTATATAATTTGTACATACATACATAAACACTCACGCCTACCCATTCTCTCTCTCCAGATCCAGTCTCTGCCTACCCCTCTGGGTAGGCAGAGACTACAGACTTCCATTTGGCACGATCCTGACACACCTCTCTTGCCTCCTTCACATCTATACACCTACGCATACATGCTCGTCGGTTAAGGGTACTCCTAATTTGGCCCGTTTTCAATAAATCGCCAATTTGGTCGATAAATTTTCGCCTAGGACGTCCCTTTCCGACTCTGCCATTCACTTCTGCACCATACATTTTCTTTGTCACTCTTTCCTCATTCATTCTTTCCACATGACCAACTTACATTGTACATAAATAAAAAACAAACAATGGCAATAAAATAGTAGTAAGCCACAGTACTACTCTCCATCGTGATGACGTCACTGTCACGACTGGACGACAACGGCGTAGACCTAACTTTTTGAAACTTTCTTAGAGATGTAGCCGTGTCGCACGTTGTGTATCGATTTCGAAATCGATCTAACCAAAATATACAGACATCGATTCAAAATATTTTATGTGTCGGGGGAGGCTTAGGCCTAATGAAGTACAGAAGAAAAATCTTACGCTCTTATGACAATGAGGGTTTGATATGATGCTGATGCTGCCAGATGATTTTTAGATTGAGAAAGAAAATTGCACAACACAAAATGAAAAATTGCTCTTCATACCTTAAGTTAAAAAACACATATTTATTATTTTTAATTTCATATTATTAAAATAAAAAAAAATCATCATCATCGACGCTTTCCAAATGCGAATGAGTTATGAGGAATCGTTCATGTTACACTGCACTACTTTTCCCGCTAATCACTCAGTCATCAGGCTGTCGTCTATCCTTTACCACGGCGCCCAGTGAACTGATTTTCGATGAAGCGCCAGAGTTGACATATTAAATTTATTATGCGAAGATGATTTGATAACATTTTTTTATTCATGTAGATAATTATAGTTTTATGTTTCTAACCTTTTATTTTATTCAAATATCAATAATAATAGAAAAAAATACCACGTTTGAGCTGAATTTTGGATAGTTTTCAAGAAATCTATGCCTCCCGCGTTCGACAATAGCGGTCAATGATAGATGACTTTGTCGTGATGGACATAGTATTTGCTTAGATAAAAATCCATTTTTTTTAGTTCAATGTTTCTTAGTACTTGTGGCTCTAGGAGACTTGTTTTTTATACTCACATGTTGCTGGGTCATTCTTTTTTGAAGAGTGTATAATTAAAATACCAGTAATAATTTTACAATATCTATATTTCATATTTTTGTGGGCCGGGTTTTTTGTCACCTATAGACGTCGTTGGCGCTCAGTGCCCGCAGGTGCTGGTCAAGTATAGGCGACTTTGGCGCTCAAAAGGTTAAATACACATTATTAAGAATATTTCAAAACTACTGATGAGACTAACATGAGAAGCAACAGCTTTCAAATTAAAAGGAATCGGTTAAGAAATAAAGAATCGTTAAAATCGGTTTATCTAGACAAAAGTTCTGAGTTAACACAAAAAATACAGTCGAATTGAGTAACTCCTACTTTTTTGGAGTCGGTTGAAAAGAACACCGTCGTGAATACAACGCGTGACTATATACTGCGATAGCTGACAGCTAAGTTTTAGGCTAAGATTAAGGCTGCGTGCACAAAACTAGCGACGATCGAGCGATGGCGGTAGTGGGGTGACTTGGCACCCCGCTAGTTTCGTGCCCGCAGTCTCGATAGTGCACGCTATTAACGGCCTATACTACCTCAGCTCAAATTCTAATTTCGCCTCCACTTTTCCGCGCCACTCGTTCGCACACTATGCGCGGCTCGAGGTCACGTGGGAACACGAGGCCAAACCGATTTTATTAAAAAATATCCCGATACGGCATAAGAAAGCTTAAACAGCCAGTTGCCAGTCCCCAAAGGCGGTTTTTAGAGGGTAACACTTAGGTTCCCCCGGTAGGCAGTGAGTCCCTCATAACCACGATAGACCGGCTATCGTGGTATGCGTAATGCATTTTCCGCCTCCCTACATATAGGGTAGCCCCTTAATTGCTTCGGGCGCAAAAAAAAAGCAAGTACTAAACCAACAATGGGCAGATCCTTTTACTATAAGAGATCCAGTATACGCTGACGTCTCATTATACGTAATGCGTTTACAATTTGAGATCAGCTTATACTGGAAATTGTAGTTTGATAATTATGTAGCCACGTGTACTGGTAACATATCTGTTACATGTTTAGGTAGGTAGAAAATACTC